TTTTTTTTTTTTTTTTTTTTTTTTTAGAAGTGAAAATCGACGGCGGCATGAGAGCGTGTGTGACTCGCACGATGATAGTTCTGTGCTCGCTGTCGGTTTTACGAATCTAGGACGTCAATTTATATAGTCGAAGTTAACCAAAAAAAAAAAGATTTAAAAAAAGAAATGCAGTGGAGGACAACATCGCCGCTTTTGCAGCTTTAATAAGCAGTTTACGTTGCCTGAAAGGGATTTGCGGGATTTTGCGCGTTATTCCGTTGGATCTCTTGCCCTCTTCATCTTACAGTATTCTTCTCGTTGTTCGTTACCCCTTTTTCTCCTCGATACATTGTAAATATTAGCGCGATGTCACGAAGAGCAGGCTTCGTAAAGCATATACTAATTGTATACATAGTTATATATATACGATTTGTAAGTACAAAAATCGTTGTCCGACCATGGCGTTTTTATCGTTCGTTTCATAATCTGATTTTCTTCGCCTCCGACCTGGCCCTCGTGGACGCGATCGAACAATGTGTACAGCCGGGAACTAGAAGAACAGTGTTTAGGTCTTAATTGGAATTAATCTTTAGTGGTTGTCTAAATGAAAAGATAGAAGAAGAAAAGTGGAATTAGCATATTCAGTTGTACAAAGAAGAGTGGTGGTGATGGGAAGAATGTTCTCTCCCCGCGAAAGACTTGGCACTCGTGACCATATAAATCAAGTAGATAGCTAATAGAATTGTTTAAAAAGGGATAGCTTTAAGAAAGAAAAGTAGTACCCCGTTTAGATTTGCGAGGATCACACACACAAACATATACACTGTCACACTCGTTGCGTTCAAATTATTGTTGTTGTCGTTCTTACTACTACTACTATTACTACTCTAATTTTTCTAGTATTTAGTAACGCCGCTACGATTTGTAGTTAACGATAATTGACTATTTCGCCGTATTACCAACATAAGTATTTTTCTCTCATCGTAATTACTAACGTATTTGAAGAACGGTTCTGTTTTCTTTTTTTCTTTCGTACTTTTTTTTCTCACACGCGATCTTTTCTTAATTTATTACACTCGCCGTGTTCGTCCTGCGTTTATTTATTTTTTTATCGTTTACGTTTACGCGTTATTAGCAAGGATTACACGCCTCGTTTACGTGTAGGAATTCACATACGAATTTAGTACTATTACCGCTACCACCACTGCGACTATTATTATTAGTGCTATTACTGTATCTATTACTATTCCTATTACAGCGTTGTTGTTGCATGCGTAAATACACGCATACGTATGCGTGCCCGTCGCGTGTATATACGTGCGCACTTGTTTATAATGCGTTCTGTAACTTATATTACTACTCTCTATTCTCTTTAGGCATAATTTTAGGTACTTTGTAAATAATACTGCCACGTTTATCGCGTCGACTTACCGAAACGCTATTCGAATCCACTTTATCCGCACGACCAAGCCGTGGCCCAACTGTGTATGATACAGCTGTATATTATCTATACATAAATATTCTATATACATATATATATTATATATATATAAGTATATATATATACACACACACACACACATAGATGCATATAGTTATATAAAATATTTATGAATTGTGAATAGTAGTTAGGAAAATCGTGTATAAACGTTCGTAGGTTTTAGGCGGATCACGCGCTTAGATTTAATACTTTGTTGACGTTACCCTTGCCACGACTTGATCGCGCCATCTCCATTACACGTTGTACTATAGACGCGTCGGAATCCTCCCTCCCTTCCTCCCCGCCCTCGTTCACCTCGCGATATTTAGGAGACTTAAACAGGGTATTCAGGGAAGGATTAGACGGAGGGATGGTCAGGTCGTCGTGCCTACGATGCCGCGCGAGTATGCTCGAAAAAATGGTGGTTCGTTTACGGATCGGCATTGTCCTTGCGCCCAGTGGCTTTCCAAAATGACCGCTTTTGGCGTGTCACGTACGGTGCTTGCGGGCGAAAACGGGGCGCACAGACTCGACGATCGTCCAGTTCCTCTTGTCGTTTCTTTCTCCTCAATTAGTAAGAATTGATCGCGAGGAGGGTAGTATATTCGATCATTGTTGCCGCTGAGAACTCCCTCTCCCCATCTCCTATTTTTTTTTTTTTTTTTCCGTTCTAGAGAATAGCGTCTCGGTAGCGTTAGGTAAAATGAACCACCAGCACGCAGTTTTTCTGTCAAAACGAAGCACCTGTCGAGGGCATTCTCAAAATTTTAGAAGCGTATGATGAATTGTTGTTGTTTTATCAGAAACGGCGCTTCGATCGTTCACGATATTATATAGTTCCTCGTTGTCTCGACGAACTGCTTCCTTTCCGAAGAAAGAATGCGTTAACTGCCCTGTCATCCACCCTGGAGAGAGTGTTCAATCGTGGGTCGATGATGCGGAGTGTGGTGTGCGACGTTTCTGCTATTGCAAACTTTGCAGGCTCTACGTTTTATGTAGACGTTGCAAACTTTCAAGTGGAAACGTATATATTTTTTTTTCCTGAGCGCCGGCTCCTATCGAGGGAAAAGGTGGTCGCTTTTATTAAATAGTTTTCCGTCGGTTTTGGAGACTGGTCTTGAGATTCCTAACCCCAAAGGGCGACGCTTACCTCCTTTTTTTTCTTTTTTTTTTTATTATTATAGTTCACTTACTCTAGCTGAACTTAAAGAAAAATCTCTAGTGTATTTGTTGAGTGGTGTTCGACGCGAATGATATATAGCTAATTTAATTTATGCGCTCGCAAGAGTTAAGAACGAATACTTAAAAGAAATCATGCGAGAGAACACATGTATGTAAAAAGAAAGGGAAACATTCGAATGTATTAATTTAAATTACGCAAGCAATAACAGCCAAGGCCTTGCGATTATTCAAATGCCTACTGTTTCGGCATAACAAGGGCGATTCAACTATTAATTGCAGTATTATTAAATGTATACAGATTAAATTACACTTACACGCCAACACCTACACAACGGTTTACTTATACACATTAAATACTTCACATTGGATAAGAAGACTCTGTAAATAGTTAGCATGTAATTGATATTATAGGCGACAAGACCTATTAATATTAACATCAAATTTATTTATAGTAAATTTTCCGAAATATCGTACGTTTTTGTGTTTATCAATGACCACGACCTTTCCCTTCTCCTACTTGAGAACTACTATTTTGTTTTATTTTTCTGTTTAAATCGGAAGGAATCCAATAAATTTTTGGTAATTATATACAGAATGTGTATTTATTTACACTACAATCATTGCGCATTGTCTATTGATTACAATATTTAACATTATTCGGCACTCTAATTAGAGTTTTAAATATTTCATCATTTTAACATTAATTCATATTACATAAGAATACTTTTATTACTTAGTTTACTCATAACTTAAGAAAATAGAAGGAAGAAAAAGCTACTTGAATAATTTATTACTCTCTTCAAAGTATATCTGTGATGATAACGATCGTTTTTTGCATTATTCAAGGGTCGAAAAGATTATTTCGGCCGGAAAAATGCGCCAACAAATGCCTTTTTAAATCCGGCATATTTTTCGGAGTGGTCGGACATTTGTGACACTTCAATGGAATACTCAAATGTTGCGCGCTCTCCTCCGATTTCAATTTTTTCAGTTCACCTTTCTCGCGCAACTGATTGCAAATATCTACGATTCGTAAAAAATAACATGTATTTTTTGTTTATTTTCTGTTAATAAGATATAGATACACTTACCTGTTGAATGCAAAAAGAAGGGAGTTGTAAACGAATTCCAATGATACTTGGTCTTTAGACAAGGACTGTTAAAATCTGTACTTATTACATGTAAATGTAATCTCTGCATACTTGGTACTGCATGATATCCAATGCTGCGTGAAATAAAGTAAAATAATATACAATATTACAACATAAAATAACGTTACAGTAACAACTTGTAATACACACAGAAACTCAGATTCTTTATGTTGCCTAGTTAAGTCCTCAGCGACACAGTGCATATGTATCAATAAATCTTCATTTTCTTTTTTTATATGCCATAATGATGGAATGTCTGCTTTTGGTATAATTAAGTAGTGATATTGGGCTTTAGGATATTTATCTTTGATGACAGTTACTTTATCGTCTTCCTTCACTTTATACTGAGGATCTTCCATAGAAACAAGTAAACCCATTGCCCAATGATGCTTCTTTGGAACAGTCGCATCAGATGATATTATTTTTGGTTTGCGTTTCATTGTGATTTCTTGATTTGCACCTTTTGAAAACTGTAATTTCTGTTAAAATATATTACCCATGGTAAAACAAATTTTCTGTGATCATGTGTCCATGTTATAAATAGCATAACACGATATATATAATTAGCAAAATACTAAAAATAAAGAGAAACTCTGAATTAATAGAGTATCATTTTAATTGTATTGTAGTTATTTACTTGCCAGGATAATGCAACGATAAAACCAACTGTTGGTTAAAATTTTTAAGAATTTTAGACTAAAACAAATTAACGTATAAATATCTCCGAGGTTATGTTTGTAATATGATTTGTGTTGTAAGGTACGAAACGTAGATAACTATAAAGAAATTGATTGCGTTTTGCTTGCCAAGACGCTGTTTCTACGTAATTAGCACTATGCATGTTTGAAGATTTTCATTTCTTTCGTACTTGATCAATTTTTGTTCACTATCGAATTTCTGAGAGACGCAATAACGTTAACCAAGTTTGACGTTTAAATACGACAAACTCCGTCACTCGGAATGGTATATTGCGCATGCGTTTGCGCACGTAACCTTCAGCGGTTTTTTAAATTCAAAATTGCAAAATGCTTGAATATACATGAATATTCGGGGAAAGAAACAAACAGCTTAGCGAATAACTTTAGATTTATTTATTTACTCAAATGGAAGGCAATCGATAAATTTGCAACAAATAAAAATAAATAACACTCTCTCTCTAGCAATAATTACGTGATCGTTACTTAAACGTACATTACAATAAATTCATAGATACTTAACAAAAATTATACCTTTTTCTTTTTTCGCATGCTCATACAAAATATGTTCGTGTGATTGTATGCATGTGTGTGTACGCGCGTATTCGTGTTCGTATTACATTACTTTTCATCACTTTTAGTATAACCGCACGTAGCATATCATTACAAGTATATTTCACAAAAACTCTATATACAGACGAGTCTCGTCCCGTAAAATTTTACCTAATTATTTTTTTTTTTCTACTTGTTGTTCGTATGTTCGTTGGACAATACTCTCATACGCTTGATTATACAAACAAAGACACTTTCACGCGTTTCACGGCAGACTATCAGATTCGCACAGCCTGACAAATCAATCAATCATCGATAGATTTCATGATTCATGATTCGAAGAAGAATTTACAACAGGATTGCAATGCTAAGCAACGATGATTGCTGCGATGCGTTAGAAAAAAAAAACAAGAAAAAAGGAAACAAAAAAGATGAGGGATCGTACGTTATATGGTGACGTTGATGGCGCTGGTCTTTCGCTCGTTTGTCGTCCCTTACGCGCGATTAAGTATCGCGACTGTTTTATCCTAAATACATTCGTACAGCAAGCCAAGTTTCATGGGCGACATATCGGCGGTACACGTGACTCTAATTTACGTATGATACAATATTTTACAACACGATACAAACTTTTATTGTCATGGCAACGGGTGATACAATTACAATGACGAAGCGATACGCGGTGGCAAGGGGATTTTTTGGCACGACTTTTTACCCCGATCTACGCACCATGTTCTCCCTATCATTCCCGTGGGAGTACACTACTTATTTTCCCCATATTTTCCTTCTCGCGCTATATGGAATTTAAATGCAGAGTTAGTAGCGTAGTTAGAAAGCGATATCGGTTACATTCGATCGAACAAATGAGATGCAAATGGAAGCAGTTTCAACTTAAATGCACGGATTTTGAATTGTGTTTGGCCGGAAACGCGAGAGGGCGCTGCAAGTCCGTGTGTCGAGTTTCGTTTTCGAACACACTTGTGCCTTGCTCACTCATTTTTCATTCGTAATTACGATTCAATCGTGTGGTGAATTTCCGTGAAAATGTTTCAAGGTGAGAATATTTACAATTCGGGTCGATCACGGCCGAACGTTAAAGTGAGAATTACAACAAAATGAGGATGCGCCGCGAACTGATTACTTCGACGAGTGTTCTACGAGGAGCATGGTGTCTCGGGGCTTGTGTGATGTTTCTCTATTGCATGTGAACATTGGAATGTTGCATATTTTTGCTGCCTCGTTGTGCGATATGGGGGTGAAGGATGACGGTATGTATTTGCTTGCCAGTGTGCCACTTTCTATCTATGTGAAAATATGGGATCGCGCCTAACCGAATCGACAAAGCATTTTTCCACTTGCCGAATACGAATTTGTCTGTGCCGTCTATAAAAATTGACAGACATATTCTGTTTACCTTGACAAAGGATAAAATTACGAGCTAGAGAAATCGAAATCGATTGCTTTGCGATTCAATCGTGGATACATCTCGAGGATAATTGATAGCTTTAAGGAGGGTTTTCAATTAGCACCATCGCTGATCACATACGCTGACACTGTTTCGACGCACTCACGTACATTTTCACGCTAAACAACACTGTACTCATTCAACACTTTCGCTCTCTATTACCGATTTAGGCAGTGCGATCCTTTATCGTTACGTTGGCGTACGAAGTCACTTGGTTCTGCAAAGAACATCTCAGAAAACTGCAAGGCGTTTGCTTCTCCTTTTTTTTTTTCTGTGTTTGATTCGTGTAACAATATCTTTGACACCGTCCGATTTAAATGAACGTAGCTGCGTCTCCGTTCGATTGAACGTGCAGCGTAAAGTATCGGCGTGAGGTCGAAAGTTTCGATCGGCCAAACAAAATTCTGAGACGAGTTCTTCTTAACTTTTGCACAAGTTCATGAACAAAAGCGCGGCTCGTGGTACGCGTAGCTTCGATCTCTTGCTCGTTTGGAAACATGGAATGTCACAAAAAAACAACAAAAAAGATTCGTAAAGGGAAAACGAAGAAACAGGAGAACCGCACGATACCCTGACATCGGTACACCTTTTGTCCGCAGCCATTCCCGAAAATTTCTATGCGATCGTTGATTAAAATATATGTACGTGTAACCTCTAACATCACATGCTCTGCCTTAGAAAAAAAATTATACATAGCTGTGCGGGAAAGCCGTCGAACTTGCTTTCTTATGGTTTTCCTTTGCCTTGTTCTTTTCTTCCATTTCTCTTTTTCTTTTTCAAATCAAATTTCCTTTTTCTTTTTTTTTTCTTTTCTTTTTGTTACACGAACGCGTTATTGCTGTCAAACTCAACGTACACTGTATTTTACATGTATGCATATGAATACGTATATTTATACATACATATGTATACAGCCGTTTCACAACCGTTGCAAAAGTATATTCATTTCCTCGACCAATAAGTATTCCGATTATAGCGTTGCAATTGAATATGCTAGTGTTTTCAGAGGAGCGGGGTCTGAGGGAAACGGGGCTGAAAGGGAGAAGCATACGAGGAAAACAGATATGAACGCAGCTTTCCCGTCTTCCTGCTTAACACACACGCTATTTCGCAGTTATTAAAAACTCAAGCAACACACGACTGTAGACTGGATAGTAGAAACTAGCTAAAAACGCTCGTAAGGAGATTCTTTGGAGAATTTTGAAGATATCGTCGTTGTATTGTTATCATTGTTATTTCCGGTCGCGGGAAATTCGTCGTCTCGTCGTTTCGTCGACCTCATCTTCATTCCTCTCGAACGACCGATCGTTCGATCGATTCGTTCGAAACACTCTCCGAGTTGTCGATCGTTAAGATCTCGAGTAACCGCGATCAGAGAAAAAACCGCGACAACGCACGATCGATCCGATGAAACGGAAGAAACGACGGGTTCTATGCACTGGTTCTCATACTGACCGAGGAAGACCAAAGTTATTATTCGTGCACCGATGACAATTATCCTCTGTTATACAAAAACCCCTTAGAAACGATTGCTTCGCGGTCTCGTTCTCACCCTTGCGTTCTCTCACGCCACGATCCTCTCTCTCTCGCAATTCCACGCACATTCTTTTTCACTGTTTTCAATTACTCACCTATAAAATTTCGATTTCGCGAAAATTACATATAGCTAGTTACACTTCTAGTTCTGTTCTCGTAAGAAAGTTCTCCGCTCGATACCGAGAAACGTAAGTCGCGATACGCGCGTAAGTACAACTTGTTCGAACGTCCACGGGAAATTGCACAGCGAATTGCCGATCCCGAATTGCTGGGTTGGAAAACAGGGCAAGCGACTGCAAAGTGAAAATTACGATTCGTAGAAAAAATGCACCAAAATCAGTCACAGATCGATCGCAACACGCGTGGCACATTTGGCCCTGCCACGTAACCGATTGTCCCTGTGTGCCTCCCGCTGGATCCTTTTTCCCGTTTCCCGTTGACACGTGGATTGATTAAGTACACAAGGCCGAGCTCCGAGAAAGGATCTCGGGCTAGGTCGCGAAGTCGACTTTGTCCCAGGTTAGCGACAAGTCGGACGACATCTTGAAGTCGGAGTCTTCCATGTTGAAGAGATCAAACGGATCTTGACTACTGGCTAGCAACGGGTCGTAAATGTCGGTGCCGCTGGACAGACTGGTCGGCGGGGCTGGCTGATGACTCGATATCGTCGTGGACGAGGTCGGGGGCGACTGTGGCATCAGTGAGTCCAGCCAGTCGGGATCGTCCATGTCCATGGGCATGTCGCCAATGTCCATCAGCTCCTGAGGTGCTTCCATCTTGACACCCAGGTCGCAATCTAATTGGCTGAAGTCCATTGTGTCGAGAGTCTCGAGGTCCAACTCGAGCTCCTGAAACGAAAATTAGACACTTTCGTGAGTTTCAACGGGAGCGAAGAGTGCTCGGTTCGCAATTGGGCATACCTTGAGGTCTAAATTCGCGTTGTCCGACGACGTTACCTCTTGAGGAGGTTGAGGATCCGGCGATGCTTGCTGGGCGGACTGCGGGCTGAGAAGCATCGCGGCGTCCAGATCGGCCTCCGAGGTCAACAGGTCTGCGTTGAACGACGAGATCTCTTCCTGCTGCTGTAACTGTTGTAACGAGGTTGGCAGCTGAATAGAGAAGGTCGCCAGAGGCAAGGGAGGCGGTGGCGGTGGCGCCGGCGCCGGTGAACTCACGCAATCGCTCTGGGAAACCTCCATCGCAATCGGGCTGATCGGACTGATTGGACTAGCAGCGGTAAAAACCAACGAGTGCGTCTGGCTGTCCGCTGGCGCTGTGAACACCAAATTTTGTTGGAGCTGTCTGTTGGGTGTCGTCGGTGTGGCTGGATCCTGCGCGGCGCTCGGTGGTAGCTCGCCGTTCTTGATCAGGATCTCCAGCACGTCGTCCACGACTTGACTCTTGATGTGACTCTTTTGCACCGGTTCGATTTTAACCTGAGAATCGAAGTGGAACCGCCATTGTTACATTTCTTTCTCGGCCGCCGTGCAATTTAAAAGCAAAAATGTGGTCTTACCTTCAGAAGCTTCGCTGCCTCGTCGTACTGAGGAGGCGGTGGTTTCCCATCCTCCGTAGTAACAGTTTGTTGTTGTTGTTGTTGTTGTTGTTGCTGAGCCTGCGCCTGCGCCACCAACGCGCTCAGCAACGAGCCATTTAATTTCGTTGGCTTGGGCAGGTTGAAGACTATCGCGGCGGGTATTTGCACGGTGGCGCTGTTCTTCGTTTGATTCTTCTTATTATTAATCGCAGTTAGGGTCGAAGAATCCAGAATGGCAGTAGTGTTATTTGGTTGCGCCTGTAGAAACGCAGCGAGACTGGCTTTCGCGTTCAGCTGCTGGAACGTAGCGTGTTGTTGTTGCGTTTGTTGTTGAGACTGCTGTTGATTCTGCTGCTGCTGTTGTTGTTGTTGTTGCTGCTGTTGCTGCTGCTGTTGTTGCTGCTGCTGCTGCTGCTGTTGTTGCTGCTGTTGCTGCTGCAAATGTTGCAACTGCTGCAAATGCAACGCCAGCTGCTGCTGTTGCATCTTGTTCTGAATGTGTTGCTGCAGCACCAACTTCTCAGCATGAACCGTAGACGGCTGAGTCTGGCGAATCTGTTGAAGTTGCTGTTGAGACTTGTATAATTCACGCTGCAACTCCTCTATCCGTTTTCTTTGTTCCTTGATTATGTCGTCTCCTGAAACACGGACTAGATTGTGAAAACACCGACGTGTGTCGCGTTCCGAAAGATTCACTTGCCATAGTTTTCATTCGTTTGTCAATGATTCCGAACTGAATTTTCTACTTTGTATCACTGTAGAATATGTAGAATAAGAAACAGATCGAAGTACCTGGGGGACTCGACGGGTCGTCGTGTTCGCTACCGTGCGGCGAGTCCGTCCGAGGACTGTTCGGCTCGTCCTTGACGGCTGAGCTGGGACTTTTGGCATGGGAGCTCGACTCGTCGGATGTGACCGGCCCCGGCGTGTCCATCAATATGTGGCCCATGTGCGTCACGTGCGGCCCGTTTGAGCTAGACGTCGAGTTGCCGCTAGACGATTCCGTGAACGGCTTTAATCTCTCGATCAGCTGTGGCTTCGAGCCAGACACTGGCAAATTTCGACGTTTCAACTCCACTTTGAGATCGCTTACTGAAACGATTGCATTTGTCACGGTCAATCGCTGTGGTGGGCGACACTGCCCGTGCTTTGTCACCATCGTCTATTCCTGGCGATAATTAATCTATCGAGCCGAGGCCCGTCTCGAATCGTCAGGCTTACACGGCGAACCTTACCTTTCATGTCCTCCAGCTTGCCCAAAGGCCTCAAGGGCGGCTGTTCCGTGGGGTTGTTGGAGGAGTTGGAGGGCGCGGGGCTTGGCGCGTTCATGCTACTTCCGCTGATGCTGCCAGCGTCGCTGGCGCCGCTGCTGTTCAAAGACAGTGGCTTTTGCGCTGCCGGTAGAATGATCTGAGGGTACTAAACAACAGAACAGACCGGATTACGCAACGTGTCCGGATAGGCCGACGCGAGGTTTGAGTCCGGGCACACGCACGATATATAATTACGTAAAACGCACGAATTGAGTAACCGCCGCGCAGTCTCGTAACTCCGAGCCTGATCTTCGATTATAAATTTAGACGTAATAACGTAATTGCCATGCAAATTGTCGGGGAGAAAGTGCGGCGTTAACGAGACACATCCGGCTGGATTCGTTCGTTCGCTCGCCCGTTTGTCGCTAACGAGGCGAGGAAAGCGGACTTTACAAGCTTCGTAACGTTTCTGTTTCGCCGAGGCGGCAACTCGATCGCTTTCATCGAGGAGAGGCGTACCTTGTGCTGCCATTCGAGCTGCCACTGAAGGAACAACTGCTGTTGCTGAAGGAGAAGCTCGTAGCTTGTCTCGCCAGGCGGTGCCGACCCGAGGCCAGAAGTCGTAGACGACACCGAGGTCTTCTGCGCGTTTGGCGGCCCCTGAGAACAATCATCGCGTTTTCGAGTTAAACGGCGCTCGGTCTGTCATTCATTCGGCCTAACGGCTTGATCGCGAGATCGTCGTGTTCCATTCATCGCGACACGCGCGTCTGTCGTTCTTTCTAGATCAACGAAAGCAGACGAACGAAATTGAGAGAAGCAAAAGAAGAAGAAGAAGAAGAAGATGAAGAAGAAAAAAGAATTTTCGACTCTCTCGAAAGAAGAAAGACGATATAAAATCGAGGAGAAAAATCAAGTTGGCGATCGGAAGGAGGGGGAGCCAAGACACGAGTGATAAATGACACATCGAGATGTGTGTTCCGCGCCCTCATTTGTACGCGCATTCCCGGTTCGCTTTCACACCAGCGCGCGTCGGCCACGCCATATCCCGAATGTTTCAGGAGCGTAGCTGGGCCTTTTGGCACCTATCGCGAACTCGACCGCCCTCCCCCCACTCCCCCACCCCCTGTACCCCACGGTCCCAATTCTCCCCCAGTCCCGAACTGTCTGGACCCTTCCTCCCCTCCCCCCTCCCCCCATGGAACCGCTTCTTCACCGCTGCCTGGCTTCCTCGCTCTTAGGTGCAATTAGCGCTCGAATTACTCAGAGCTAACGAGGTGGGCCTCGGGCCCCAGGCCCTTCGAAAGATCGCGAGAGTTAATCACCCGATACGATCTCCTTCTGCGTTTCGTTCTTTTCTCTTTGCCTGGATAGAGAGAGGGGGAGGAAAGAGAGAGAGAGAGAGAGAGAGAGCTCGCGGGCTACGGGAGCCGAGATTTACCGGCCGTCTGTATCCCTTTTTACTTTGCTTTTACCCCTACTCCTTCGCCCGCTCTTACTCTCTTCCTTTTTTTTCATCGGCCATTCTCGTCTGCTTTCTTTCCTCCCCTTCGTCGTTTTTTCTTCCCCTCTTCCCTTGCTTCTTCTTTCTCTTGTTCTCTCTTGCTTCTGCCTCCCTCCCTCCAATCTTTGTTTCGTCTCTCTCGTAAATCTCTTTTTCCTTTTTTTCTCCCGATTTTTTCTCCTTCTTTTTTTTTCTCTCGAGTTTGAGATATTTCGTTTCCATCTTTCTTTTTCTCATCCCTGCCAACGGCTCGGGTACAGCCGATACAGGACAGCCGATACCTCGGTTTTTTCGTTCGCGGAGAGTCGAAAAACGTTGAGAGCTGATTTTTTAGCGATAACGTGACGTTTTCACGCGTGACGACGAGAAACATTATCGGCGAGTTTAACGTTTAGTAATATATATATATATATATATATATAATTGCACCTTGCTGACGTAAAAGCCACACGTTCACGCCCACACTTACAGCCGAGAGAAATGCAAACAGAATCAAGAGTGAAAGTGGCAAACGTCTGCGTTCTCTCCCGCGTACGTTATGTCGCTCGTGCACCGTGGCGCAACAACGCGCGTGTGTCTCTATACTCGCGGAGTGCTCAATGGGAAGTGACCACTCTTGGCGTATAGTTGTACCAAGAACTCGACACGAAAGAAACTCTAAATGACAAACGAATAGAAGGAACGAAAGAGGGAGAAACTCACTTTGTACTCGTGAAACTTGATGGTACGAGTCTTGGGCTGGCTCTTGGTCTTGGACTTCTTCCTGTTCTTATCCTTGCCGGGCGCGTCGCTCCTCTGACACGCGGAGGTGGCTATGGGGCTCGGTTGCGGCCTGGGGGTGATGGCGGCGGGCGGTGGTGCCGGTGGCGACGCTATCGAGATATTGGAAAGGGGACTCAGGCTGGACGTGGTCGAGCCCAAGGACATCGGGCTCGGCGCCGGCGCCAGCGGTAGGAGGGTCGTCGACGGACCGTTCGTCTGACTCGCCTGTTAACAGAGATCGTTGCTTTTTTCACTCCGTGGAATCCTCGATTAATCGGCTAACATCGGTGCGTTGCCGATTTACGAGCAGCGCTTAACGTCCGACGTAAATCTATTTTTGCCGTGTGCCCCGATGCTTTTTCCCATCGTCGTCGTCGACGTTCCCCCGTTTATTGTCTCGAAAAATGTCTTTCTTTCGCCCGGGGAGGGCACGCCGCGCCGTTATCGTCCATCTACATCGACCGATAAATCAACCTTCCATCGAGCATCGGGATTTACGCGCTTTTCGAGCTACGCTCACCTGCGTGGAAGCATGCTGCTGATTGTGTTGAGCCTGCTGTTGCGACTGTTGTTGCTGCTGCTGATGATGTTGCTGATGATGTTGCTGCTGCTGCTGCTGCTGCTGCTGCTGCTGCTGTTGCTGCTGCTGCTGCTGCTGCTGTTGAGAACCGACCACGGTATTGCACAGTTCCGCGAACGTTTGTATCGTTGGCTCGTTCGACGCCTGTTGGAACACCGGCGACGTGGACGAGACCACCACGGCACCGCCGGTCGTTGGAATACTAAGCGAGACGGTCACTATCCCAGCGGAGGCAGCCGCCGTTTCCAAAACGTCCGACCGGGACTCCAGCTGCGGCGAGGGTGCACCCTCCGAGCTCTGCGAGTCATCTTCGAAGGTGATGTAGTGATCCGGGTGCTGAGGCTTCGTCACTTGACCCTCGCAGGTGGCCTTGAAGGGAATGTGACCCTCTGGCCGGAGAACGAGAACAAAGACGGGATCATTCTCACAATCACAGCGAAACGCAGAGAGCTTTCGTTGGAAACGAAACGAACGAGCAAGTAAAGTAATTTTAAAATTACATTTACGCCTTTCGCGAAGATTCTCAGAAACGCGTTCTCTTTACAAACCTCTTTGCCGGAGAGGTTATCGATCAAGATACGCGAAAACGCGAAATGTATAAGATCGGGTTGATGCATGCGCTCACCTTTGACCGCCCTCTCAATAGGCTCCTCCGTGTGGAGAATGTTTTTCTGGATGAGCTCGAGCGGTCCAGGTCGATGACTGAGCTGGTCGTTCAGCTGGTCGGCCAACCTGGCCTTCTTCAGCATCCGTTGCCTCTCGGCCAGGCTCGGGTCCACGTGACCCACATCCTCGAGGATATGCTGCCTAACCAGCTCCTCTCGGCCCGGTCTCTGCTGGATCTTCGCCTTCAGCAGGTCACCGGTCTTCGCCCGTTCCAATTGCTTCCGTTGCTCGTGGAACGCCGGCGGTGTCTTCAGAGCTATGGCAATATTATTGTTTGTTAAGTTCCATGTTACCATCTCCAGAGCCTATTTGTCACGTTAACATTGACTAAATATACCGTAGGATATACATACGTGCCGATATGGGGGTACTCGATCGAAGGTACGCGATCGCGTTCAGAGTTTCTCTACGCAGGTGCCGTTTCCGCGTGGAAACGCGTATTTAGAAATCTCTCGCGTTTCTCCGCCAATTTGTTTGCCATTCTATCGTATCGGGTATTTTAAACAACGGCGGCTACGTTTTATCGACGATTTTAATTTTAGACGGTGTTAAAGCCGCCTTACGAAGGAAGTATCGCTAGGTATTTCCAGCTCCAGTTAAAGAAAAAAAAAAAAAAAAAAGGAAAAAACTCTGACTGTCATTCCGTCGCGGCGGAATTAAAATCTCGAAGAGAAGAAGAGGAGGAAGAAGAAGAAGATTTTATTCGCCGTCGGAGACATTTAAATCACGACTCTCGCGACACTACGAGCTTTCATCGAGCTTTTCCTCGAGAGCTGGCGTCGATAGCCGAGACGAGCCAACTCGTGGCCCCTCGGCGAAGGGCGCGCATCTAATAAAAGAACCAGCACCGAATGAAAAAGCACTTTCGAAGCTTTTAGGATATGTCCTCCGACGCATGCTGCACGCATCAATTTCCGGGCCGCAGCGACGGCCCTCGAAGGTCTGGCCGCGTGGCGCCATTTTGGTGTCAACGTCAAACGCCTCGTCTCGACATTCCTCCACGCCATTAAGTCCCCGGATAAATGATCCCCGAAGCGTTTTCCCTACGTGAGCACCGTGGCCACTATTTCCGGACGGAGCGCCGCGCAGACGGCGGTCGCTTCATTACTCGGAATAAAAGGCTCGCGCCACCTACGGTGCGCCGACGTGGAAATGGAAATGTGGGAACACGTTGCTCACACTCTCTCACCCCGGATTTCTGACTTTCGAAACCGGTGAATTTCGATTCCATTCTTTCGTGCTTGCATCTACAAAATCACTCAACTTTGTCACGATGGCCACTTGAAAGCATTTGTCAGATTTTACAGATCTGTGAAAATGGTATCGAGATCGTTTGGCCAATCATTACTCGAGGCGATCACGTAACGCATGACGTTCGTTTTGTCTACCAAAAAGTGCATTCCGTGCGCGCCACGACGAATGAATCGTCGTACGCGCAGTAAATACGAAAAGGTACAATTTGCGCTTTATTGAACGATTAACAACGTCACGGAGATTGTCGAAAGCATTTCAAATGAAAATTAAAATATTTATGACGCATCGACTTCCATTGGAGAGAGCCCATCGTCACGCACATATGACGGGAGTCACATGTGCAATTATTTTCTGAATTAAAGAATGAACAAAAACGAACAAAATTTGTAACGCCACAACTAACAGTACTGTGAAATAAGAACTGTACTTTTCAACGATTATCCACATGGTCCAGCGTCATATATCTGTGACACGTTGAAAAACTAGATTTACACACTCACGAAATTTTAATGCTATCCAAATAAAAATTTGCAATTTTGCAGAAGTATAAGTACCGAGCCGTGGAATTTTTTCTTTTGTGCGGCGAAAAAGCATCTTTCAATGACCGCCACGCCAGTCTTGACGATTTAATATAATACGAGTACACTGTGCTACATTTTTTATTAATACAATATATAGTGTTTTAATTAAAATCTTTAATCGTTGAACAGTGCGTTTTTTATTTCACAATATTGTGAAGTTTATTTAGTTATGATGTTCCAAGTTTTCCAGTCGACGATATTCATCCTATTTTACTTGTTCAAATATTTGAAGCACTCCGATCACCATTGTTTCCGCATCGAGGAGTCATGGAAAGATAGAATTTTTTGTTTAATATCGCGTATACTCGTCATTTTGAAAAAAATTCTTTCCTTTGCTATTTATTGCAAAATTTACGTATATTTGTAGTTTCAGCACATTTTAGAATATTTCAAGGCAACGAAACAAACGAAGAAAATATGCACTTGAAAGTAACGGGAATTTTGTTATCCTACGTGCCACGTTAATGAAATTAAAAATTTTTCAACGAAACGCCGAACAGAATTTATCGTTCTATTATAATTTAACTCAATCTTGCAGCAAGTGTTTTCATCGAGTGTGCTCGTTATCGTCTAGAAATGATCGAGCACATTGGCAATTGCATTCTCAAAAATAAAACAAAGACACCGCCTAACGGTGTTAAAAAGTCAACCTAACCGCGCCGGAAGTCGGCGAGCCGCGAATTGGAAAGGAAGAACGCGAGCGCGAAGAGACAGGGCGGACACACAGTCTTCGCGATTGCGTAGGAAATGCTAAAATTAACCGAGCGATTCGAATCAATTAGGCCTTTCCAACATCCAACACCCTCGGGCAAAGCCGAGGCTCGCGGCTTTTGTTTCGCCCACGCGATGTTTGTTAGCGAAACCCGCCGCGCGGGTGTATCGATTGTGCATACTCTCGCGCGAGCCAGCTGTGACCCAATTGTCTAGTTTCCATCTCGCGAACGCGAGTAAATCGCCTGACCGGTGTGAACACCGAATGCACAGGTTTTCGAGACTTTGCTCCGAACGATCATAAAAATAAACGACCGAAACGGCGACAAACGACAGAACCCGATTCTCGGCTGTCACGCGCGCGCTTTTATATATACACGTGCGTTACGTTGTCGACCCAACGCTCATCCCGGGATATTCGATTATGAGAACGAATTCGAAACGGCCACGATCCCCACGTAGCACGCTCGAGCCTTCTTCTTCGACGAAATTCGACGAAAAGTCAACGAAATCCGGTTAACTCGGACCGTTGTTTATAAAACCAACGCCAATTTATTTCCGACTCGGCGTAAATAACAATATTACAGTATTCTGCTATCCGAATCGGCCGCCGTTCCGTTCCCGCTCATCAATAAACTCTCGTCAAAGCGTTTCGAATCGTTTAGAGGCGCATTCGGCACCTTTAAATCATCGGCGTCTAGACGCAACAAGAGCGGCAATCGAGACGCGGGATTTACGAGCGCGGCGATCGAAACAATCACAGCTGGGCGACGATCCGAATCAACGCGACGCGTTGAAGTTCGGAGGATCTTGTTTGTTCGGCCTACTAAACGCCTACTAAGATTAAGATCCGGAGCAGACGTTGAGATTTCCACGCGGATCGCGGAGTGGAGAACGTTCGCGCAGAAAACACTCGAATCGCGTGCCATTTCCACGATCACGAGCTACGGCGACGTTCTCCGCGTGGCTTGCGAAACGCTCGATTTAGATCCCCGTGGATTCTCTCGCCGTGAACGAGCCGGCGACTACTCGAGAAGCTGTTTCTTAGAGAGGTTGGTTCATTGGCGAGGAATCGCGGCGAGCGTGGGCGCATTGTATAATATAATAAGCGCGCGCGTCCGGAAAATTTCGCCGGTTATGCAACCGCGCGTTTCCGTGTGAATACCAACCGCGACGACCAGGCGAGGAACAGCTGCGAGCGTGGATCGCTTAGCTCGTCATTGTTCGACTTCTCGATCTTGCTTCGGCGCGTGTTTCGCGTTAGCGTAAGGATATTTCGTCCGATGAATTGTAAATGCAGTGTAAATATTTTCGCAACGGCGTTCAAGTCGAAGAAGGGAAATCTATGAACGACTCGATAGCCAGTTCTCGCTTTGATTCGTTAAATGAAAACTTTGACTGGCCGGTTAAAATTAGAGCCCCCCCCCCCCCGTTCCCCGGATTCGGGCGAAGTTAGCGCGCCTCGCGATCTGAAATTAATCGCGCGATGTAAACAGATTTACGTCATTGCGGACAAGTTCCTCGAAGAAGAAAAAGGTTTTGTCACGCGCGAGATCTTCGACTCGTGGAAGTCGTAAAGTCGAAGCGGATTTCTACTGGATTTCTCGCGATCAACTGGATGCATTTTCTATGCACATTAGCTCATTATTATATGTTACAGTAGTTTGTTTTGCGCGAGCGAATCGTGAGAAAATTCGATGCCGTAGAAACAGATTACTCTTGCGAAATTATTGGCGAATTCTGTTCGAATAAACTCCATATTAATGTTTAACTTTTCAATTAACAGTCATCTCGATCATTCTGCATATTTTCTGCTTTCAACTATCGAAAGCTACTTACTCTTGCGAACTATTATGCAAATTATGTTTGAATCAATTTCTGAATCAACGTTCAATTTTTCACCTCGATATTTCGCAAATTTTTTACTTTGAACTATTTATTTTTCTAAAGCTAACTATTCCAACTATTTATTATTTTACTATACATGTACTGTTTACTATTATTACTATTAACTATTTTCCAACTATTCCAACTATAAAGCCAGCGTCTAACTATTTATTTTTCTAAACTATTGGCGAGTTATGTTCGAATCAACTCTGAACTTAACGTTCAACTTTTCAACTGACAGTCACCTCGTGTACATACATTTTTTGCTTTGAATTTGGTGTTTGAACCGATAGCAACGAGAGCGGAGTTTCGTCTTGCTCGTTATCGATCCAACGGGAAGATCACACGCGCGATTGATCGTATACGTACGCGGGCACGTCAATTTAAGGTACTTTAGGAAGTCGCTCCGTGTCCCAGTTACTTCCTTTTACGCGGTTGGCCGAGCCATCACAGGCAATCGCGCGGCAATTAAGTTGTAAGTGGATTAATCGGCCGTTACCGCGGTGAAAAAAAAGAAAAGAAAAAAAGAAAAGAGAAAAAGAACGCGACACATTGACGAACTTGTTGAATCTAACTCCAAGTGGCCTCTCGAGCCGGGCAAATAAATTTGTCCGATCGGACAGGATCGTTTCCCTTCGTTCTTTTACCGGCCGCTAAATACCATAGACGAGGAACTCTCTGACTTTGGCCAAGGTTTTTGTCGCAGCCTGCCACTCTCTAAACTTTTAATTGAATCTAACCTCGAGAGTTACGTCTACGCTCGAGAGAGCTCGTCCACCGCTCTGAAATCTTTGCGACCGATCAAATGAGCAGAAAAACGTTCGCGCGCGAATATTCGATCTCACGGCTACAAGCTAGCGCGACAATTTCGCGCAAAAATCGAGACCCGGCGAATTCTACGGTAAAAGAAAAGTCGATGAAAATTTTCATTAGCGTTGCGTGGAGTTACTTACATGGCATGATACCTTGCGCAACCAGCTGATTGATGGGCCGCCTCAGCGTAAGCTTCACCTTCAGCGCTGCAACAGAGAAAACAAACGTGTCTTTTACGATTTCTCTCTCTCTCTCCTTTTCTTGACGACGTTATCTCTTCTCCACGACCCCCTTAGTTTAATTCCATGCTTATGCCTGTCGTTAAACTATCAATTTTTACGTTCGATCAACGTAACGTTCCATCTCGATCGAACGGTCGATCTTTGTCGCAGTATTTCATCTCGTTCAGTCGTTCGTATTTCGGAAAAAGCGAAGGGACTCTCGCGGAACAGCCGCGGCGTTTCACCAGTAGGCAGTTCACCAGCTCGTTCTATAAAAATCGGATGATCAAAGTCGATCGCGTGGCCATTTCTCGGTAGCCGATATTTTCTTTCCGCGTGCGGTCTAAGCTGTTCCATATGGCGCGACCCGGAGCGGAAAGTAAAAGAAACAGAATCTCAGCACGGCGAGAGGGGAGAGATTTCTTTTAACCCCTCGAAATGGTTAATTGGACCACACCGCACGCGCCTCGTTTCCTCGTCTTTCCAGCAATTTTTCGGCCCCGATAATCCAAGAACGCCACGACATCTCCTTCGTTTCGTTTCGTTATCTCGGTACACGAAACTTGGCGATAAGTAGCTCTTGGCCGAAACACGCCAGCCGGATACACCAGGTGTAACGGGATTTGCATACCGTACCATGGTTACGTTTCGCCTGCGTTTCGCGAGAAAGCTCGTTCGAAAAATGGCGGACGATCCTGATGTACCATGTAGGAGGGTCAAGCGTACGAGGCAGAAGACACACAGTGGTGATCGTAAAGTCATCATTTTCGGCTGAGTTTCCTCCGCTGAGTTTATTCTTTTCGCCACGACACGAATCATTAGGTTTGTTTACCGTGTTGTATTTCGCTTCGCTGAAATATAAGAGGAATAACCAGTCGTGTATCCCGGCGGTGACTAATCCACCTTGTCAGCTCTAAACATAGAGAATCCCTCACCTGTTTTCCACCTAAGGCAACTTGTAGCGTCCAAAACTTCATGTGTAACGATCGCCGATCGAAAGAGAACCGCTCTGTGGCGCGAGCTAGCGTGCGGTGGATCACGAAACAGATTCATAGTTAGCGGTCGCGACGTTATTATCGGTGAAGGTTTTGGAACGAGTACCGGGCGTTGGCGCAAGAATATCAACCACTTGCGTCGGCAACCGATTGCGGACCGTAACGAGTGAACAAACAATAATTCGTCGCTTTCTTTTCCTTTTGAACTCGTCGGTATATTCAGTGGATAGAAATTATTGATTAGTATATAAATTTATTATTTGTTTTGCCTCTTTTGTTTTACTTAAATATACTTAAAACTGAGAAAATATTGCAATTTTGGAACAAAAAATTCTCGATGTGCGTGGGACAAGAGATTGGTCTAGTTTATATTTCCGTTGGACATTCTTTTGAATGTTTCCTATTAATGTTTGCTAATTCAAGGCTCAGAAGCATCGCGCAAGTGAAGACGGTCACTGACCCGCGAATCTGTTATGTTTAGCGTCCTCTAGAAACTCTAGGTTGGCATCGATCGTTTTATCGATGCTTTAATTTCAATCTTCCAACTAATTAAATGATAGCAGAGCAGTTTTTTTTTATGTTGAGAATGCTTAACTGGCGCGCTTAATTATTTCAGATCTAGGCGATGACAAATATACTCTTACTTGCTGTAACATTGAGTTCAATTATAACAAAATGATAAACTTTTTTTTGGCGTTTCTTTGAGAAATTTTTAATTTTATTGATATTCACGGTATTTACAGGACTTGATGTTTTATTTTTTGAAAATGAAAAGTTGTTTCATTAAAAATTCAAAATTCAAAAGTTTAAAAAGAAGTAAAAAAAAGAAATCGAAGTTAAAATGCTTAGAGATTCAACTTGTTTTTAGAGAGAAACATTCTAAAATGTGTTAAAATTACAAATATATATAATTTTTTTACTCAAATTTTACGACAAATAACCACTCAGTGAATTTTTACTCGACATTAAACAAAAAAAATTCCATCTTTCCATGACGAGTATACTCGACATAAATTCTTTGAATCTAATTGGCTAGAGCCTAACTAGCCCGTTCTAACAAAAATAGACTCGCTTATAATTTTCAACCGATATCACAGAAAATATTATACAACTTCCAATCAAAAATGTACAATTTTTCGCACGTCGTAGAGAACTGTGAGCAAAATTCAGACGGCGAATCAAAATCTTTAAAGTTTTTCGCGAATTAAGATCGTCTCGTTTCACTTTCGCAAGAAGTCAGACACAAGACAAGTTCACAGTCCAGTACTCTGAGCATTACACACACTTTTGAACATCCAGAAGCCACGTACATACTCAGTACAGAGTATGTACGTAGCTGGCACAGCCACGAGTAAGTCGCATCGTTAATACACAAGAAACAGGGAGTTCGGGGCTACGATTCGTAGCGGGCGATTTGGCGACCGGCTAATTAAGGGGGCGATCACGATGGATCGTGATTCGGGAATCCGGGGGAGCCGGGGTTCGCAGATCAAAGGTCGACGAGAGGAGCACGAAACGAAAGAGCGGGCGAAGAGCGTGGCGTGGATCGCGGGCCCGACTACAAATTAACACACAAAGGGCCCCCGGTTATAAATACGCGGAGAGGACGCGCGGGTCAGATTGCATAAATTGCCGGCGTAAAGAGGAACAAAACCGCGGGGGCCGCCGCGCAATCTGAATTCAAAGCAGCTCACGGCAGAAAAATGTCCGCCACCCCTCTCGGTTTATTGGCCCGTGCCACGAGGATTCCTTTGCCGTCAGTTTTTTCGTCTTTCCACCGCCGAGCTTCGATTCTCTACCGTGCCATCGAATCGCCAAGCATCGATCGCTCACACTTCTTCGCGGCTTCTCGCGTTTCAACGTTGCGTTCGAAATATCAACTACTTCTTAACTCTTTCTGTTGTAGCTCGCATAACGAGTGAGTGGATTGTTTCATTAGTCATTCGTTAGACGTTTATACACAGGGTGTTTCGTAATTTGTGGGACCCACTTCGGGAGCTGATTGCACGCCTAAAAATAATGAAAAGAAGTCATATAAATATATGTCCTATCTGTCTTCGTTTATGAGATATAATGAATTTTATAAACAGAGCAAACTCTTAATAAGCTAGTTTTACCAGGGATGGTACATTCAATTTTCATAATAATCATAATTGGGACGAAGAAAAGCCACACGTTATTGTGCATTCAAGACATCAGCACCAGTTTAGTTTAAACGTACGGACAGGAATAATTGATAAATTTTTAATTGGACCTTTTTTTTCTTGATGGGAAACTAACAGGCACAAAGTACGTTGATTTTTTGAGCACGCGTTTACACGAAATATTAGAGGAAGTTNATGCGGTTTATGCATGATGGAGCTCCGCCGCATTTTAGCCGAGTGGCTAGGCAATTTTTAAATCAACACTTTGCAAATAAATGGATCGGTCGTGGTGGTCCTATTGCATGGCCTGCTCGTTTTCCGGATTTGAATCCATTAGATTTTCACTTGTGGGGACATTTAAAATCTATCGTACACGCAACATCGATTGAAAATGCCGAAATACTACGAAATAGAATAGAGCGAGGCTTCCGACAAATTCGAGAAACACCAGGAATGATAAAGAGAGTAACCAGATGAATGACAAGACGCGTGCAGGCTTTTCGAGCATCTTTTGTAAAAATAATTAAAACAGAAAATTCATTATATCTCATAAACGAAGACAGATAGGACATACATTTATATGACTTCTTTTTCATTATTTTTATGCGTACAATCAGCTTTCGAAGTGGGTCCCACAAGTTATGAAACGCCCTGTATAACTTGGACGTAAGGATTCGAGAAAATAGGAAAATAGGGATAGATCTCTAGCAAATAGATCTCTTGCAAACTCTATCACACTCGAACACACTGTTAAAATTTTAGAAATAAAATAAAACGAAACTACGGGTAAAATATACTTTTATCCCCATCATAAGTAGAACCAATTAAACCGTAAAAGAATGAATTAATCAAACCATTAGAAAAGTCCATTTTTTTTTCGTAACTTTATTATACTATATTTATTTTACTATATTAACGATCAAGAAGCTATCAAAGGTGACGAATTTATTACAAACCGGCTCATCAACGTTTCAAGAAGAAAGATCCCGTCTGGTTTCAGTAAACGCGTTACAAACTCGTCGTCAATTTTATCCTTAGGTGAGCAAGTCGTCGGTTATTAGCCGATCAACAAACGGTTTACGGACGGTGAAATTTATGGTCGCGAAATGGACGGCAATTAAGGCGTAAGATGGCGGCCAGAAAGAAGAATACCGACGACAATCCTATCGCCTAATGAGCATTCCTGATCGTATCCTCGCTATCGATCCTGACAATCACGCGTGGAACGCGCGTAACTATGCGCGCGATTGCATATTTCTCCCTCGTTGGCCGAGAAATTCGCGGATCGGCCGTTCGCCGCGCATGTGCCGACGCATTCTTCCACCCGGTCTCCCCCTCTTTCGACTAGGAAATCTGGCCAAAAAATCGCCTCGCTCGGTATATATACCAACGCTCGGAATACCGCCGAGATGCAGGCAACTATGCGAATTTCATTATCTCCAGGCGAGGTTTCCGGCGCGCCGAATTATCGAACTGGCATTCGCGATCCTCGGACGATGCATTTTAACCCCCCGTGGCTATTGGCTGGCGCTTATAAGGGGTTCAACTTACTCAATTGATAATTGTTGACAATAATTGCAAGAAAAAAATATTGGATCAGACAAAAGTGAATTTTTATTCAACAGTTGCTAATTTTTCGTTGGATGTATATTATTTAAACGTGATTGTCTTACAGTTATTTCATTTGACACTGTTAAAATGAAACGGTGTGATAATAAATTAATCACAGAAAGACACATTACGAATGCAAGAAACGTGATGTAGGATTATGTACTGACCTATGTTTCGAATTTTATCATATCTTACTAGATTATTACCTTATTAGATTATTTTAAAATAAAGTTTA